GCGGGCCTTCCCCCTTCGCCCCGCCGGGCGGGCTCGTTGTGCAGCCTCTGGGCCAAAACTCGGTTACACCGTGAAATGGATGTCTCTTACGGGAGTGCTGAAAATAATAATTCAGCCGGGTATTTTGTGTTTAAAAACATTATTTTGTTAATCTAATACTCTAATGTATTAACCTGGTGTTTGGCCCGTGTGTTTATACGAAACCGACGTGCCTGAGAGAGCCAAGGCTACGCTCCAGCCGTTGGTGAGGGCAGCGGCGCCTCCGTGTCTGGTTCCCTTCTCCCGAAGCAGCGCGGAGCCGCCGGCCCTGCCGGCCCTGCCGCGGCCGCTCACAGGTTTTTCTCTCCCGCGGCAGTTCCTGAGGCGGCAGCAGGTTCTTCAGCTGTACAGGAAGATCCTGCGGGCGATCCGCGAGGTGCCGGCCGCTGCAGACCGCCGCTACCTCACGGACTGGGCCAGGGAGGAGTTCAGGAGGAATAAAGACGCCACGGACGAGGTGAGGAGAGGCAAGCGGCGCCCCGAGCAGAGCCGGTAGCACGAGCGGAGCTCTGGAGCAGGCCGTGTCCCTGTAACTGCCACGGCAAGGCGTCTGGAAAGCCGCTAGCGCCCCTTTTCCATAAGGAGCATCCGGGTGAAAGATCCAATATCTCCGGGTATAAGCACACACCTATTTCGTGATGGTGGTAAAGTTTCTGTGATTGCCAGATCAAAAATCTGGAATTACAAATTCGAAGAGAAACTAATAAATTCTACTTGCTTGCGCTAAGGATCTGAAGGAAAAGCACTGAATAATATCATAGTTTAAAAAAAAAAACTTTTAATGCTTTAAAAGTTTAAAAAGCATTAAAAAAGGCTTTTAATGCTTTAATAATTTCATTTTTAATTCCAACTGGTGTCTGTTCATTCAGGCTGAACAAACCGGGGCGGTTGGCTGTAGGAAGCCTGTGTGAAACGAGGCGACGTGGCGTTTCCTCTGCAGCTCTCATGCTTTCTTGTTGGCGCTTTTGTCGAGCCTGTGCTCGAGGAAATGCTGCCTGAAAAGCAGTACCGAGGAAAACAACCCATTTTTCTTTAAAACATAGGGGTCGTGACGCCCAGGTGTAGCTGACAGTACTCACAAAGGCAGTAGGCAGGCACAAAGAAAATACGATTTGGAGCCTGAATCCCATCATTTTTAAAGCAGAGTTTTAAAAAAAAGATATAATCAACTGCCAAACACGTCATTAAGAAATTGGAGAGAATTAATTTATTGGTTCACCAGTTTTTGTAACCATCTCCATGATTATAGTATTACTTTATACAAAGACCTAATTATTACAACAGCTTTATAAGAAGCTGTGTGTCTTTTAATGGATTCAAAGCAGCGTGCTTGTGAACAACCCATGCACATGCATGCAGGTCCGTAGACTCCACTTTGTTTTGCAGGATGCGATTCGGATGATGATTACTCAAGGCAACATGCAACTTCAGGAGCTTCAACGGACACTTAAGCTGGCAAAATCCTGACCTTAATTTTGTTGCCAGCTGAACTGTTACCCACTGTGAAGAAGTACTTTATTTATTCTTTTTCCCCAGAATGTGGCTATACTGCGGCTCTTTGATGACATTCTGGTAATGTTTGACGATGGAATCTACCACTGTGGGGTTTGGGAAGGGGAAGCTGGGGATTTTTTTTTTTTCCCTTCCTCTTTGTTGGGTTACACTGCTGTTCAGAAATCAGACGGACACCTTAGAGAACTGAAGGGTTTTAAAGCACTGAGTGGATAATGCAGCATGTGCTGAGATAAATCACAGTAGCAGCGTTTTGTGAGGAAAGTGGAAAATAAATATAAACTAGATGATTGTCTCTTTTCTGTGGTTAACATTCATAGTGGCAACAGCCCTTTCTGTACTGTGCCCAGGGTAGGTTTTCTGGGATTTTTGCTTGTTTGTTTTTGAATGAATAAAGAGCAGAAGTATTTGGGATAAATGAATGGGTCCAAAACAAATAAACATGATAAAATACTGAGCAGTAAGATGATGCTCCTTAATAAGAGAGGAATTAGCGTTAGAAGGGAGGTCCCTCTATCTGAAAATGCTTTCAGCCAGAAATGGTTAGGGTTAGGTAACGATACGGTGGCTGCGTGCGGTGTAGGCTGGGGTTTAGGGGCGCAAGGACCCTTCCCTCTCGCCTCGGCCAACACGGCCACGACTCCAGCCGCGCTGCCGCTGCCACCGCCCGAGCGGAGCAGGGACAGGGACAGGGACGGGGACAGGGCAGCGGAGGCCCCGCTTCCAGGGGCAGGAAGGTGCTTCCTTGGCAGCACCCCGCGAAGGGACACCCCAAAGAGCAGCTCCGCGCGCCTGCCGCGGTGTCACTCGCCCTGAGGGCGCTGAGCGCCCGCGCTGGACCGGGCCCGCACACGTCCCTCAGCAGGACAGGGGTGCCAAGTGGTGGGAATAAGGTAACTGGGGAAGAGGTTTAGTTTTGGTTCTGCCAGCTGATACGTAGTGGGAGAAGGAAGCTTCCGGAAGGAGCGAGCGGTGTCTTTGCACAGTCGGCCATTGGTACTGCAACTTCGCAGAGACACTCGAGTTTGGGAGCCCCTTCTGTGGTGCTGTTTTAGGCTGTTAGTCATGCCTGGAAGCGCTGCTCCCTCTGAAATAACTCACAGATCACTGTCACCACTTACTAGAACACCTGAGGTTTTATTGAGAGGAAAAAAAAAAAAAAACCCTTTTTCTTTCCTTGTTCAATCTTTTAAAAAAAAGGTCCATCTGCTGCTGCCCAGCGTGAGTGCAGTGAGGGCGAGGGGCCCCGCTCCGTGTTCTCTGGGTACACAACACTGCAACACAGGCTTTGGAACAAGACTTAATTTACTTGGCAAAACATTCACTTTCTCGAGATGATACAAAAATTAAATGGCACGCTGCTGCATTCCTACAGTAGCTGGAACAAAAGTAACCCTAGGAAAAGTGTCTAGCATGGACTACAGAAGTCAGAGCAACCAAACTAGTGTTTCCATTACTACAGGTACACTGTGTCTGTCTTGCTAGTGCACTAACAAAGGGAATTTTTTAGATCTCGCAATATAATACAATTGTATTTGCTTTAGACATCTGCCAAGAAGACAAAAGCTGGATTACTCATCAGTTAATGGTGTCTTCAGACTGCGTTAAGTGAAGTGTGTTGTCTTCTGTTTGGGGTTCCACAGCATGGAAAGAAATAGATCCTTCTTCCTAGGCTAACTGGATCTTTCTGCATTTGATTTGAACAGCTGTTTTATCATTATCTGTTAAGCGACCTTACTTTATTAACAGGATCTAGTGGAGCCCTGTCAGAGCTAAACGGAGAGAGATTTATATAAAAAATCATAGAGGGCAACACGTATAGGATGGATTTAGGAAAATATTTGCCATTGCGGCCTGAAAGATTTTTTTCAGTCGGGTGACTTGAGCAGAGCCCACAGCAAGGAGCTGTGCAACCAGGAAACCACTAAAAACACATTTAATGGGGCATTTGTGTTAATAACATAAACCAAAAGCAAAACAAAGTGGCAAGAGATGCCTCTGTACCCGGCGGGATGACTCACCTTAGCAGCTCCCTCGGCAGGGGGGAGCGTGGCCTTGCCCAGCGTCTTTCACCTGCGTTAGGCTCATGATTGCAGTCTATTTCTGTAGCTTCTCTCCACTGACTATAGAGAGGCCATGGGGAGTATCTAAACTAGTATCAATAGCCCTTTATCACTGAGGAGTTTCTGACAAAAGGTCTCCAGCATCACAGATTTATTTCAGTGTTGGCACCATCACATGTCAACATTCAACACCCAGTGGAACCCTCTAGCCACATATGACCTGTGCGGAAATCAGAAAATTCCCTTTCCAGAAAGCAGTTTTGGTTTTTAATGCAGTTTGTTTTCAGGCAGCACCTGGAAATTGTGAGTGCAACAAGTAATGGACTCCTGGAAATAACAAAGAAAGGATCGAATTTGCAGCATATGTTGTCACAGTACAAAGAGTCTGTGTATTTCTCCTGCATGGCTCTGAAGCTTCTGAAGTTGCTTCTAGTCCAGAAAAGGAGCATTTTCATTCGTTTGTCCGTATGTAACAGGCACTACATATAAATATATACGTCGGTGTTCCAGATTCCTACACAGGAGGTTCTGCCCCGGGCCCCGCTGGTTGTGTTTGCCTCGTTGGCAGCTGCTAGCTCTCCTTCTGCACCCTAGTCCTTAGCTTCAGCAGCTCCTCCTCTAAGCTTTTAATATGCTCTTTGAGCGCAGCTTTGTCTTGCTGGGCTCTCTGGTTAGCTTGGCACCGGGCTTCCTCGATCTTCCGCTCGTACCAACGCTCCATCTGCGCGGACACGGCCTCAAAGAAGCACTGCGTGATCTCCAGGGCCTGCGCCGTGTCTCGGAGCGCGGCGGGCGGCCCCGCGCCGGGCCGGGCCTGCCCGCTCCTGCTGCCCTTCCGCGTCTGCGTCCCTCTGTCCACGAAGGAGCCGCCCTGCGGCTCCGCCCCC